AGGGAGAGAGAGAGGGAGAGACACACACACATAGGGAGAGAGAGAGGGAGAGATACACACACACAGGGAGAGAGAGAGGGAGAGATACACACAGGGAGAGAGAGGGAGAGAGACACACACATAGGGAGAGAGAGAGGGAGAGACACACACACATAGGGAGAGAGAGAGGGAGAGACAGACACACACAGGGAGAGAGGGAGAGACACACACACAGGGAGAGAGAGAGGGAGAGATACACACACACACACGGAGAGATACACACACACGGAGAGAGAGAGGGAGAGACACACACACAGGGAGAGAGAGAGGGAGAGACACACACACACAGGGAGAGAGAGAAGGAGAGACACACACACAGGCAGAGAGAAAGAGAGGAAGAGGCAGACACATACAGAGGGAGAGACAGCCAGATGCAGAGAGGGAAAGGGGCAGAGGAAGTCCATACTGTAACTGACCCAGTTAACTGAATGCTGCAAACTTCTCCAGAATTCAGCTGGTCTTTATTTTCACCAATATATTTTTGTTGTAAACTAGGTAACCCCTCAGGGACTCCGCGAGCTGACACACCATCAATACGGACGTACTCGTGCTAGCATCACTCAGTAAGTTAAGTGTGAGCCAGACACACAGTGTTGGCATTTACGGAGCTGTGTGCTTTCAAATTTGGACACAACAGTATTGAGTTGTCCAATTCATCATAGTTCAGAAGTGGGGATGTTCACCGATGATAACACAATATTCAGCAAAATTTGTGACTCCTCAGATTTTGAAGGAGCCCATGTTCAAATGTAACAAGATCAGGGCAGTATGCAGGCTTGGGCTAACAAGTGGCAAGTGACATTCACACCATACAAATGCCACACTATGACCATCTCCAACAATAGACAATCTAACCACTGCCCCTTGACATTCAGTGGTATTACTATCATTGAATCCCCCACTAGCAACATCCTGGGGGTTACCATTGACCGGAAACTCAACTGGACTCACCGTTTAAACACAGTGATTACTGGGGCAGGTCAGGGTCCAGGAATACTGCAGTGAGTAACTCTCCTTCTGACTCCCGCACAGCCATCTACAAGGCACAAGCCAGGAGTGTGATGGAATACTCCCCACTTGCCTGGTTGGGTGTGGCCCCAACAACACTCAAGAAGCTCGACACCGTCCAGGACAAAACAACCCGCTTGATTGACATCACATCCACAAACATCCACTCTCTCCATCACTGATGCTCAGTAGCAGCAGTGCGTACCATCTACAAGATGCACTGCAGAAATTCACCAAAGATCCTCTGGCAGCACCTTCCAAACCCACAAGCACTTCCATCTCCACCTAGAAGGACAAGGGCAGCAGATACATGGGAACACCACCCCCAGTAAATTCCATCCAAGCCACTCACCATCCTGACTTGGAAATATATCGCTGTTCCTTCAGTATCATTGGGTCAAAATCCTCGAATTCCTGCAAGATCATAGTGGGTCAACCTGCAACATGTTGACTGTAGCAGTTCAAGAAGGCAGCTCACCCCCACCTTCTCCAGGGCAACCAGGGACGGGCAATAAATGTGGACCCAGCCAGTGACAGCACATTGGGTGAATAAAGAACAAAATTTGGTAAATCAGAAGTGAACTCTCTGAAAGGCTCTGCATGAAATGTTTTCCCTTTTGCTCCCGCAGATCTCGAGGGGATTGTGATGAGTCGCTGTCGTGCAGTTAATTGTGGCTGGAAGAATCGAAGAACCAGTTTTGAGAACTATCACAGAACTGACCCGACTGTTAAAAGGGGCAAGAGAACCCCCCCCACCCCGCCACCACCGTCTCCCCTCGCCCCTATCCCCAGTGTTGCTCCCGAGAAGAGTGGGCGAGAGGGTGGAGAGGTTGTTTCATTCCTTCAGTGACACTGTTTTCATTTTCTGTCACTCTGTGGGTCCCACATCTGAGGTCAATCACCCACCACCCCTCCCCCCAAACTCTACCGCCCCCCCCGCCCCCAAGACTGTTAGCGGGACTGACCCACAGTCCTGGCCCGAGGCCTGTGGGTGACTCAGGGGTATACGGCAGGAGAAGCTATGACACGACTTTAAGGTATTATCCTGTTTTGGGCCCTGGATGTAAATACACCGATCAGCCCGCCCTGCCCTCCCACAGCCACATTTCCTTCCCACCCCTCCTATAAAGTGCTGGGATTGTTTTTTTTCTCTTGTGCGTAAGAGTTCCTAAAACTGTTGCTGTACCGGGGAAAGTTGCCTTTGAGAGGTTTCTTCATTTATTTTAACATCCAGTCGCTCGTCCCGGGCTTGCACTTTGGCTTCTGTGTCTCCTACCAGCACCCCCTCACCCCCACTGCCCCACTCAGCTTCAGCCTGTTCATGCTGCACAGCACAGTGTCCTCTCTCCCAACCCTACACACACACACACACACACCGATGCACGCACACGCCCAGACACACAGACACACACGCACATAGACATACACGTACACAGACATACACACGCACAGACACACACGCACACAGACATACACGCACACAGACACATGCACAGACACACACACATGCACATGCACACACACACACATGCGTGCACACAGACACACACGCCCGCACGCACAGACACACACATGCGTGCACATAGACATACACACCCGCACGCACACATGCGTGCACACATGGTGTCACCCCTTGCCTTCAATTGACTGAGCTCCTGTTTGATTCAGTGATTATCGTCTGGTCAGCAGGCTCAGGGGCACAAATAGACAGTTTGTCAGGGAGTGAGCTTTCTACAGGACATTGCTGTCCCTGTCAGGGAGTGTTTGATGGGGACAGTGTAGAGGAAACTTTACTTTCATTTTAAAAGAGAGAGTTTTACTCTGTATCTAACCCCGTGCTATCCCTGTCCTGGGAGTATTTGATGGAGACAGTATCAAGGGACATTTAATTTCTGTTTAAAAGAGTAGAGGGAGCTTTACTCTGTATCTAACCCCGTGCTGTTCCTCTCCTATGAATGTTTGATGGGGACAGTGTAGAGGGAGCTTTACTCTGTATCTAACCCTGTGCTGTCCCTGTTTTATGAGTGTTTGATGGGGACAGTGTAGAGGAAGCTTTACTCTGTATCTAACCCCGTGCTGTTCCTCTCCTATGAATGTAGAGGAAGCTTTACTCTGTATCTAACACATCTTGTAGTAGTCTGTCCGTCTCTCTGTCTCTCATTTCTGTATAGAAAGGGGGAGATCCCTGAGATGCTGGAGCAGTTATGAATGGTCTGTGTCACGGTGAACAATGGTGGATGCTGATGTTAGTTAAAGCTGTCAAAGAGAGAGAGATGGAGGAAGACTGCTGCAGCTCTGGGCCCAGGCCTGAAGCCTGCGGTTGTCCAGAACAGCTTTTGCAGGATCTTTCATACGAAGCAGCTTGGCCTATGCCTCTCTCTCACTCTTGACCATAATTTATGGGCTGACCTTCGGCCTTCTCCAGCCCAGACTGGGTTTACCTGGTGATAGGATCTTGTTGGGGGGAGGGGGAACAGTTTTACTGCAGTATTTCTTCAATGAGTTGTTTGCTCTCAGCCCCCATTTAGCTTCCATTTTGATGCTTTTCCCTCTCCTCCTAACACACACACACACACACACACGCACTCCCCTCCTAAGGACCCTCAATAGCTAAAAATGTGCTTTTTTTTTAGTTATTATAATAATGTCAGGCTTTGGGAGCAAACAGCAAGACAGTGTTGGGGCTTGGTGGGGGGGTGGAGTTGGAGGGCATTTCACAGGGGGCACTTCCTGGAGCTGTTGAGGCAGGTAGTAGTTGGTGGGGGGGAAAGGGGGGCATGGGGGTCACATTTGTGCAGAAGAGGAGGTGATTGGTGGGGGGGCGAAGGTTCCAGGGGAAGTGGAGCAGAATGCGATCACTGGCTTCGCTCTGAGTCAAACACCCAAGTCCTGCCCAGGGTCATGTCAGTGACTGGGCAGCTCTAGGCCTGGCATCACCCTGTGTAGCCCTGAACCCCAGTTTTCCTGGGATGATGCGCGAGCCGGTCTGTCAGAGCATCCCTACCCACCTCTGTACTGGTACCCGTCCATTGCAGCATCAGCTAATGCTTTCCCCAACTTCCACACACTGTGTCCAGGCCCAGGCCCCTCTCTTGTTTAAATTCCATCTCCGCTCTGATACCAAGGTACTCCTTCTCTGAAATATGGTCTGTTCAGTGCTTGAAAATGTAAATTAAGCTTTGCTGTCAATGCATTGATCGCTGTTAAGCCCTGAGGTGTTTTTTTTTGTAAATGGATGTTTACTGTATTTATTTAACTCGTGTAATGTTCAGTCATTGGTCTGGAACATTCTTTTGAGATTTACTTGCTCATTTTTACTTATAACGACTGACAAGGAAAGGAATCTCCCTTTTTTATATTGTCCCAAACCTGCTCCATCGTCTCGTCTGTTATTATTAATTTATTCGTGCTCTGCGCGTTTCCAGGTGAGTGTATTTAATGTATTTACATAAAGGTCTGTGTCCAAACTTCAAAATATTCCTGGCTCCTTTATTGACAAGTGTGTCCCTCCAGAACACTGTGACTGGAATATAAGGTGGAAAAATTGCGGAGATTATCCACTTTGGTCGGAGGAACAGAGGTGCAGAAGTGGTAAGAGGTTGAAAGAGTGTATGTCGATGTGCAGAAGGACTTGTTGATAAGTCACTGGAGACGAAAATGCAGGTGCAGCAAGCTGTGAGGGAGGCTATTGGAATGTTTGTCTTTATCGCAAGAGGATCTGAGTACAGGGGTAGTGAAGCCTTGCTTCAGTAGTACAGGAGCTTGGTTAGACCACATCTGGAGTAATTTGTGCAGTTTTTCATCAAAACCCTACAGTGCGGAAGCAGGCCATTCGGCCCATCAAGCCCACACCGACCCTCTGAAGAGCATCCCACCACCCCTAGCCCTGTATCCCTGCATTTCCCATGGCTAATCCACCTAACCTGCGCATCTTTGGATTGTGGAAGGAAACCTGAGCTCCCAGAGGAAACCCACGCAGACAAGGTTGGAGGGTGGAATGCAAGCCCCTCACAGAAACCTGCCCAGGGCTGCAATTGAACCAGGGTCCCTGGCACTTGTAAGACAGCAGTGCCAACCACTGACCCACAATGCCACCTTCAACATTGATGCACAGTACTTAAAAGAAAAAAACTTCCTGGAACTGAAACACTCATTAGATGAGTCCACAGCTCAGATGATGTAGCACGTATGATAAAATCTCCAATCCACACATGTAGTTACCATTCAGTTGAGGACCATCAACTTGCAAAAAGAAATATGAACATCTGGTTTTAAACAACTTAACAATGCCATAAAATTTCATGTTTTCAAACAAAAACAAAAGTTATTGTATGTACTATTAACAATGCGGTTACTATAGAATCCTTACAGTGTGGAAATAGGCCATTTGGCCCAACAAGGCCACACTACCCCTCTGAAGACCATCCCACCCAGACCCATTCCCTGTAACTTGGCAGTTCCCATGTTTAATCCATCTAATTTACACATCCCTGGACACTATGGGCAATTTTCCATGGTCAATCCAAGTAGCCTGCACATCTTTGGACCGTGGGAAGAAACCAGAGCACCCGGAGGAAACCCACGCAGACATGCGGAGAGCGTATAAACTTCACACAGACAGTTGCCCGAGGCTGGAATCAAACCTGGGTCCCTGGCGCTGTGAGGCAGCAGTGCTAACCACTGAGCCACCATGCTGCCCGAAACATATTACCATTACTTCTGACTGCCCCAAGAAATCTCCTATATTTTATGATGTCTTAGATCCATTTGCTTCTATGTCAGGATGCAAAAGTATGCCACCATCATCTAAAAACTGATTTTACTCATTCTGACACCTTGGTCGCTTGTTCTGGCTGCCCTCTTAAAACTTCCAAGCTAATCTGCTAGGTGCTCCTTATCTCAGGAAAAAGATTATTGTCACAGAGGAGTATAATGAAGGTTCACCAGACTTGTTTCTGGGATGGTGAGGCTGTTCTGTGAAGAGAGATTGGGAAACTGGAACTGTATTCTCTAGGGTTTCTAAAATGGGAAGGAATCTCATTCTTACAAAATACTTAAAGGGATAGACAGGGTAATGTTAATTTTCGTGGTGAGTCTATAACCAAGAGGCACAATTTAAACATAAGGAAGAGGCAATACTACCGCTGGACTGTTAATCCAGAGACCCAGATAATGTTGTGGGGACCCAGGTTTGAATTCCGCCACGGCTGATGGTGGAATTTGAATTCAATAAATATCTGGAATTAAGAATCTAATGATGACCATGAATCCATTATTGATTGTTGGAAAAACCCATCAGGTTCACTAATGTCCTTTAGGGAAGGAAACTGCCATCCTTTCCTGGTCTGGCCTACATGTGACTCCAGACCCACAGCAATGTGTTTGACTCTTAACTGCCCTGGGGGCAATTAGGGATGGGCAATAAATGTTACCTAGCCAGCGATGCCCTCATCCCATGAATGAATTTAAAAAAATGATATTACTTAGGTTCATGAAGAGAACGTTTCTTACACAGAGGATTGTGAATCTTTGAAATTCCGTACCACGCAGCGCTGTGGAAGCTCAGTCTTTAGTACATTTGAGTAGATTTGTGAGTAGATTTGTGATTAGAAGTGATGTTCAGGGTCATGAGGATGTGGTGGGTAGAAGGCAGTAATCACTCAGCCATGATCATATTGAATGGCAGGGTGGGCTGGATGGGCTGAATGGCCTCCTCCTGCTCCTAGCAGGACGTGTTCTCAAACTTAAGGGCAGGGATGTTCCTCCACATTTTCAGGAAGGAGATAGAGGTAGTTCTTGGGGGTAAAGGGATTAAAGGGGATGGGGAGAAAGTGGAAACAGGAGACTTTGACTTGGATGATAGTCCTTGATCATACTGAATGATGGTGCAGTCTGGAGGGGCTGAATGGCCCACTCCTGTTCATATTTTCTACATGTAGCTTCTAGTTGGCCAGTGCCTGCTATCCGATAATGAGTGAGTAGTGTCCAGTTTCCCAGCCTCAATGGTCGGTGCCCAGGATCAGTCCCAACAGCCAATAACATACTGAGAGATAGTAGGAACTGCCGATGCTGGAGTCTGAGATAACACAGTGTGGAGCTGGAGGAACACAGCAGGCCAGGCAGCATCTGAGGAGCAGGAAAACTGAGGTTTCAGATCAGGACCCTTCTTCAGAAAATCAATAACATACAACTGTTTGTTAGGATGTATCGCCATCAGCTGGCCACATGAGGTTATTGCTGCCTGGGTGAATGGGACCAGGAATGGAACAATCCTGGGGGGTGTGTGTGAGAGAGTGTGAGTGAATGAGAGATAGAATCTGGGTGTGTGCATATGGGGGAGGGAGAGGTGCACATGTGTGTGTGAAGATACTGCTGTCTCAATGCAGACCTTGGAGCTTCATATCTGCAGAGAATTTACAGCATTGCAGTAGACCATTAGGCCA